TTTCCAGGTCCATGTTTCCCCTTCTTTCTTGTTTTTGCTTGTTTTGTTTTGTGTTTACCATGCTTGGGACACGGGTCAGAGCCTCACCCCACCCCACCTATGAGCTCTGTCAGTTGGCGAGAAGTCTGGAGCTACCTGACCTGGCTTATCTTCTGCAGAGGGAATGAAGGCTTTGCCCCCTCACAGTATCTGTTGCTTCGAAGGATGGCCCAAACCTCCCAGATAGCAGGAAGACTGACCAGGACCCCTTTGTTGGCTGTGGCAGCCTTCAGCCTGCCTACATAGTTGTACACTGCAGTGGGAGGGAGACTGTGCTAAGAGCTTGTGGTGGCTGCCCATCTCCCTTGGAAACTGAGAAGTACTGAAGAGAGCAAAGTGTCAGCTGATTATTTGTCTCAGAGCTGCCCCTCAAATTACCAGGAACCTTTTCAAAAGGCAAAGGACATTATTAATTTGAGGGCAGTGGACATATTCAATTGAATTTCTAGAGGCGAAGTCTTTAGTTTAGGGGCCGAGAATGCTGTTCTCTAGTGCCCCCTAGTGCCATGCAGTAATGGCAGCCCTCAAGTTTCCCTTGCTGGCAGACACTAGTTTCCTATATTCTCATTTATGCTTCTGCTGGTGAACCTGGAGCATCTTCTCGACCTTCCCTGGGAAGAGACTATTTCTGAGCAGATGTTTTTTCTTTTCTTTCTTCCAGTTCTTTTCTTATATTATTCGTGTGTGCCACTCCCTGGAGCTTGGCCTCTGCTTTTTGCAGTTTTATCAGCATATTGTAATTTCCTTTTTCTCCTTCCTATAAGTGTAAACTGTTTTTAAGGCTTGTTCTCTAAGCAACACTCTACAATAGTGATAGTGATATAAATGCTTTTCAGAGTCACTCCTAATTTTTTTCATTTATTTTATGTATGTGGATATTTTACCTGCCCATGTTTCTATGTACCATGTGCTCTTCAGAGGTCAGAAGAAGTAGAAGAATTCCCTGGAAATGCAGTTACAGATGCTTGTGAACTACCATGTGGGTGCTGGGAATGAAACTCAAGTGCTCTTAACTCCTGGGCTGTCTATGCAGCTTCCAAGGGGATGTTTAACTGGTTACCACTTACGTATGAGTCACTTTGGTTAGACAGATGTATTTGTGTATCCAGTACAGCTGTAGCCCCCCCCCCCCATTTTTAAATGAGTCCCCTGGCCTCAGATCTCAGTGTCTTCATCTTTCTGACCTTTGACAATGACTTCCTCAAGCATCAGGGCTTCTATTACACATATCATTACTGTGTCCCATCAAAATGATTTTTGTGTGAGCAAAGCTGGTGCATAGAAAAGGCCTATGTGGATGTATTCACAATAGGTGGAGACCCTGACCCAGGCTCCTCTGAAGTGGATGCTCCAGATGGCAGAACATCATTTTCTGGCTTCAGCAAAACTGAAATAAACCTTTTATATTAGTGGTATGATGGCTTACTTACAAAAACTCATGAAAATAGATTTCATTACAGCAGGAGGATGTGCTTCATGTGTCTTGATGGAGTTACCAATTGATGTACATGAACCAGTGGGAAGAGAGTCAGGATGGAGTTTCAGACAGCCCTGGCTATCCATTTGTCATTCACTAAATGGTATTTGGTGTCACATACCTTCTAGTTAACAGTTCTCATGGTATCCTTAGATGGATTGAGTGTTTTCAGCCGAGTGTCGTCTGATGAAGTTTTCACTCATGCACAGTTAATGCCTTTGCAGGGGTAGATTTGAGCATGTCTGGAAGTGAATTCTGTTATTTATACCAACACATCTTTTCCTTTCTTTTCATATTTTGTTTTTTTTGAGATGGATTCTCTACACAGCCCTGGCTGTCGGGGAACTCACCTTGTAGGCTAGGCTGACCTCAGACTTACAGAGATCCACCTGCCTCTGCCTCCTGAGTGCTATACTGACATCTTAATTAGTTTCTTTTTTGCCTGAATGTATTTCTGTGCACCATGTGCATGCCTGGTGCCCATGGAGGCCAGAAGAATGTATTGGATCCCCTGGAACTTGGGATACAGTTGTGTATCATCATTGGATGTTGGGAATTGAACCTAGGTTCTCTGCAAGAACAGCCACTGAGCCATCTCTTTAGCCCCTAAGAAGTTTCTTGAATAAAACATGATTTAACAACAAAAATTCTAAAATAACCCCCTCCCCCCCAACATGCAACTGTACACAGCCATAGATCTCTGTCAGACTGGGTTATAGGTCCAGAGCCTCTGGAAACAAAAATGTGCATTTTTATTTCTCCTCACACGGCGAGGGTGCTGGAGGCTTCTTTGTTCAGTCATATATTGAAGCTTTCTGTCTGTTGTTTGTCTGTCTGTAACATGCTGTCTTGGTTGGCCTTGAACTAACAGAGATCTGATAGAGCCTGTCTGCCTCTCTAGTGCTAAAATTAAAGGCATATGACACTATGCCCAGGTCTGAATCTGTAAGAAAAACACTAGAGCAGACTTTTTCAAGTGATACTGGACAAATAATGAACTAAATGAAAGTACCAGGAGAGATTTCCACTGGGGTCTTCTAAGCACTTAGTTCCTTCTCCAGTGAAGGAGCCTGGATTCTGCAGTCCAGCCTGGAAGGCATGTGATCTTGGTTCCTCTCTGTCTACTTGTACATTTCTAAGATTTAGATTTTAGCCTGTAATGGATTAAAGCCACCTCTTTAAAAAAAACTTCCTGCGTATGAACACATTAGGAAGTGTGTTTAGAAGTGTAATTTAAATGAACATTTCCGGGCTGGAGAGATGGTTCAGTGGTTCAGCTCCCAGCACCCACCCACATCAGGCAGCTTGCAGCCACCCATAACTTCTAACTCCAGAAGATCCAACATGTCAGATTTCTCACCCATACACCTCTTCCCTACATTGTAAGTCTGCAGTCTTTCTTATTCCTAAGAGGCTCCAAAGGGGATGGCTTTCTGCGCATTGCTCCTCCCCCTGAGATGGAGCTGTAGTTCTCACTAGTGGCTCTGAGTTCCGTGGATCCTACTTCTGTATCCATCCCTGTTTGTTACCATAGTTCATTTAGTGGGATCTACAAACTGCACGCAGGTGTTCGGATGTTAGCGGTGATGACGTTGAACCCAGGTCTTTCATGTGCTTTGCCACTCAGCCACCACATCCCTGGTCTTTGAGAAAGTTTTTTTTTTTTTGTTTTTTTTGGTTTTTCGAGACAGGGTTCCTCTGTGTAGCTTTGCACCTTTCCTGGATCTCACTCTGTAGACCAGGCTGGCCTCGAACTCACAAAGACCCGCCTGCCGCTGTCTCCCCAGTGCTGGGATTAAGGCGTGCACCACCACCGCCTGGCAGAGAAAGTTTTACATACTTTGTGTAAAATATTTATAGGATGGAATTCTATGAAAATAAATATCATAGCATTCTAGGGAAAAGTACTTCTTGAGTTTTCAAAACTGCCCTGTTGCTGTATACACTGCTTCTGCCACTAAAAACAAGTTGAGTTTTTGAATTAGTATTTTGAACTTAGTCTGGTTTTCACACCCTTCTGTTCTCTGATAGGATAGTTCCTTTCTTACTGTGTTTCTTCTGTTGCTTTTCACTGGCCATACCAGGAGTGATGTTAATATAAGCTTTCCCATGTTGTAAGTGATTGGTAAGAGGCCGAGTCCCAAAGCATTTCATAAGAAGACTCCAAACTGTGTCGAATCTCAATGTTTCCACCATTGCCATCAGTCCAGTTCCCTTGTAGACTTGGTCAAGGGTATGTGAGTATTATGTGAGGACAGCTTTGTTTTCAGTGTTTGTTATGGCTTTGGTAGACAGAGCCAAATGGCCTCAGGAAATGCTCTTCCCAACAGTGGCTTTTTGCATAATAATGAGTATTGTTTACTGTAATACTTAGTTTACAGAACACAGGTTTATAAACTTCCCTGTAAGTCATTTCTAGACTCACCTCTGCTTTGACCCTCAGTCCTGAGTTTTACACATAGCAGGTTACTGGCTGAATGAATGAATAAATGAATGCTGTGTAAATCCCATGATGATACTTGTTAGTGGTAGACTTCTTGAAGCTCCTAGGAGCTGGTGGCCACCTGGCAGACTCAGCTATGTCAGATCCTGTCAGGGAAGATCACACCCAGAACTCTATGAAGCTAGAGGGTTTTATCTACCATATGTATCATTTATTATAAGTGGTGCTGTTTACTGTATGAGAAAAGCCATGAGGTACAACAAAACCCACTGTAAGAGTTTATTAAGGAAAGGGAACAGGAAAGATGTGCATAGGCCCATGGAATGACCGTGCAGGAAGAGAGGGGAGAAAAATGTGGAACCCTCTTTTATAGATCCCCCACACCCCCACGCTCATATGGGCTTACATAGCTATGCCACGCATGAGCATAGATTACAGATCATGCTGTTAGTAAATTACGTGATCACACAGTGCACGGATTATGTAGGACGCAAGGCCCTAGGATGACTAAGCATCTTGCCTGACTGCTGGACTGCGCATGTGCATTAATATAGCTGGGGGAGTGCTAGGAATTCTAACAATACATATCTGAGTCCTATTCTAGTTCATGTTTAGAATAAATAACATGTCTTTAAAGATTGTTAGTCAGGATCACTGACACTTTTCTATGAATTTTGCTGTCCTTTGTCAGGGAAAAATGAAATGAAGGTGGGTAATGATGTGACTCAGCTAAAAGCTAAATGGAGGTGAAAAGGTGAACCATGCTCTGTGACCACACTTGACTTGACTCAAAATAAGCTTTTCAGCCTTGTTCTTTGACAGTTTATAGAAGAGGTTAGGTGGCCTTTTTTTGCATGTCGTGGGGAAATACCACCCTTAGGAACTTTAGCTTTCAGCTTGAAGCTCCTCATTACTTATTGAAAAGGATTTGGGGGATTCTAGACCAAATGTTTCATAGGACAAACACTGTAAAAATATGTGGCTTTTCAAAGATAAGTAATGTGTATATTGAATCTAATCAAGTATTCTTACTGTTTTCAGTATATTTTTGGCGATTTCAGCCCTGATGAATTCAATCAGTTTTTTGTGACTCCTCGCTCTTCAGTTGAGGTAAGAAAAATTGTTTTCATGCACATGTGTGTAGAAATGTTTGACAGTTCACTTTCTCTTTAATCGAGAGTCCTAATGCGTAGATGAGTAGAGACTACACCAGGAGTGTGCTGGACCCACTTGTTAGCTCTTGTATTTGCTCTAAATTTTGAAGATGCGAGTATATTTGCACACACAGTTGAACCCCTATTTCTTCCTGCCTACCTTTCCCAGAGGTAGTGACTGCTGGGGTGGGCAGTATACACTCTGTGTCCACAGGAAGTGTTGAGGGCTGTATGCTTTAAGATTGTCCCTTTACAGTTCACTTTACGCCAAGTTTAGGATTATACATTTGTTCTTTTGTTGTTGTTACTGTTTGTTTGTTTAAAGATTGTTTTATGTGTCTGAGTGTTTTGCCTGTATCTATATGTACCACTTGCATGCTTGGCTGCCCATGGAGATCAGAACAGAGTATCAGATACCCTGGAACTGGAGTTATGGATGGTTGTGAGCCATGTTGTTGATGCTGAGCACTGAACTCTGTGTAAGTGCTGAGCCACCTCTTCACCTGCTTTCTGATTTTAATTGCTCAGTAGGTTCCTCACACACATTGTAATTTATTTATTACACTATATTAGTTTAGTGTAGGGCTGCTTGTTTGAGTTAATGGGTTCCTAAGGGAGTATGTGATGGTGTCTCACTTCTGTGGCCTTCTGTCCCATAGATTCCCCCCTATACACTTTTTTTTTTTTTTGAGACAGGGTCTCACTGTGGCCTGGAACTTGCTAAGTAGATCAGGCTGGCCTTGAATTCACAGAGATCAACTTGTGTCTGTCCCCAAGTGGTGAGATTAAAGACATGGGCCACTGTATACTCTAGCAAGTAAAATGGTATATGTTCATGTTCCTGCCTATGACTGTGGTATAGCTTAGGATCTGGCTCTATTCTCCATATGTTGAGGGCTATAAACATTTAGTGAAGCACTTTCTTCTGTATCTCAGGTCAAGAACTGGGATGGGGGGGGAGACACACGACGGGCATGGGGGCACGGGCACAGGGACGGGGAGAGTTAAAGTGTAAACCATCACAGCCAAGAGCTTTTGTGCTTATCTTAGGTGCTTGTTTAAAAACTTGCCCCATAAGATAGGGTGCCAGGGAGAAACAAACAGGCGAGTTCTGTGTGTGTGTGTGTGTGTGAGATCTTTTTTTTTTTTTTTAAAGATTTATTTATTTATTATGTATACAGAGGAGGGCGCCAGATCTCATTACAGATGGTTGTGAGCCACCATGTGGTTGCTGGGAATTGAACTCAGGACCTCTGGAAGAGCAGTCGGTGCTCTTAACCTTTGAGCCATCTCTCCAGCCCCCTGTGTGTGAGATCTTAAATATTGATGTTGTTTATAAGGATTGCTGGTATTTCCAGAGCTATGCTCTGGTTTATGGGCAGTGACTTGCAAGTAGATCTCCCTAGTAGAGAATAGTTAGGTATTTTAGTCGATGTGTGAACCCCAGTCATTATCTTATTACTGGTGCATAAAAAGTGTTTATTCCAGGAGATGCTCAGATCTTAGTATCAGAAGCAACACACACATCAAGTGTTACCGAACAGATCACCCAGCACCATAGCTCAGACTGTAGGCACAGGTGGGAGTGTGTGTGTGTGTGTGTGTGTGTGTGTGTGTGTGTGTGTGTGTGTGTAGGTACAGATGAGGCTGTTAGTTGTCATTTAAGGTTTTGTTTTTGTTTTTGTTTTTGGCATAGCATCTCCCTATCTACCTCTGGTTGTCCTAGAACTCACTATGTAGACCAGGCTGACCTTGAACTCAAAAAGATCTGCCTCTGCCTCCCAAATGCTGGGATTAAAGGTGTGCACCACTAAGCTCCGCCTTAGATTAATTTTTTGAGACAGGGTTTCTCTGTAGCTTCGGAGCCTGTCCTGGAACCCACTCTGTAGACCAGTCTGGCCTCAAACTCACAGAGATCCACCTCTCTGTCCCTCCCAAGTGCCAGGATCAATGGCATGCACCACCACCGCCCGGCTAGATTGTTTTTTTGTTTTTTTTTTATTTAATTATATGTATGTGTGTGTCTGCATATGGTTTGTGTACTTGAGTGTACAATGCCCATGGTGTTGGATTTCCTGGAGCTAGAGTTATAGGCTGTTGTGAACTGATTGACAATGGGTCCTCTTCAAGAGGAGTAAGGGCCGGGCTGCGGTGGTGGTGCACGCCTTTAATCCCAGCACTCAGAGGCAGAGCCAGTCGGATCTTTGTGAGTTCAAGGCCAGCCTGGTCTACAGATTGAGATCCAGGACAAAAACAACAACAACAAAAAAACCACCACCACCACCAACAACAACAAAACCAACAACAACAACAACAAAAGAGGTAAGCACCCTTAGCTGCTGAGACATGTCTTCAGCCCCCTTAATTGGCTGGCTTTCAGATTAGGGGTTTGTGTTTCCTGAGGCCTTTTGACTGAGGAAGTTTGAGAATGTTTGAAGAAGCTAGAAACATTACCCTGTGCAGGGCCCCAGGCTCACACGGTTCACAGAAGAAGCTGATCCTGCTTTGTCTCCAGTTTCTAACATTTGTGTGGGGAGTTAAATTTTTAGTTTGATGTATAAGAGACAGAATTTTACTTCGTAGTGCAGGCTGGCTTGAAACTTACTATGTATCTCAAATTGGTCTTGAACTCATGGTGATCCTCCTGCCTCAGCCTCTTGACTGCTGGGATTCCAGGTGTGAGCCACCAAACTTGACACTTTTTGGACCCTGTCCTGGAACTCACTCTGTAGCCAGGCTGGCCTTGAGATCTGCCCGCCTCTGCCTCCCGAGTGCCGGGATTAAAGGAGTGCGCCGCCACCACCCTGCCGAATTGGAAAGCTTTGGTTCATTTGGATAGTTCTGTCCCATTTTGCTTACTATATCTGCTGCCACAAGAGAAGGTCTTAACTTGGTGGCAGTAGTTCATTGGGTGAAAGATGCCACACACATGGACGCAAAAGTAATCACATTTTTTTGCCATGCTGGAACATATCCTGGCTGCAATCATTACACAGTTACGATTTCCTCAGACCAGCAGTCAAAGTCAGTATATATAAATATATATATGATTTTCTTTTTAAAGTCTTACGTAGCTAGAGTTTTCCTGCCTGGCCCACAGTCAGGACAAATCTTTCTCACCCGCTAGTCCCATAGCCGCTCAGACCCAACCAAGTAAACACAGAGACTTATATTGCTTACAAACTGTATGGTTGTGGCAGGCTTCTTGCTAACTGTTCTTATATCTTAAATTAACCCATTTCTATAAATCTATGCCTTGCCATGTGGCTCGTGGCTTACCGGCATCTTCACATGCTGCTTGTCATGGTGGCGGCTGGCAGTGTCTCCTGCCTTCCTGTTCTTTATTTCTCCTCTCTGTTAGTCCCGCCTATACTTCCTACCTAGCCACTGGCCAATCAGTGTTTTATTTATTGACCAATCAGAGCAACACATTTGCCATACAGAACATCCCACAGCAGTCTTACTACTCTATAGTACAAGCCAGCCTCAAACTCATAACAATTCTCCTGCCTTAGCTTCTTGAGTACTGGGTTTATAGGTGTGCATCATCATGCCTATTAATTTTTTAAAAATTAATTTGTGTATGCACATGTCTCTGAGTGTGTGTGCCATAGAGCTCTGTGGACATAGAAGACAACTTGTGGGAGTTGGTTTTCTCCTTTTACCATGTGGGTCCCAGGGATGGCAGCAATCTAGCCAGTCTAAAGTAATTAAACCCATTTTTTGCTGGATGTGGTGGTACACACTTTTATTCCCAGCACTCAGGAAGCAGAGGCAGGTAGGTGACTCTCTGTGATTGTGTATGGGGGTGGATGGGACATGAGTCCAGTTGTGGAGGTCAAACAGTATTAAACTCAGGTTGCTAGACTTGTTCAGCAACCAGTCCTTAAAGTAAAATGCTTTAAATACACTTGACTGAAAATGATAGTAGGACCGGAGAGATGGTTCAGTGGGTAGAGAGGCCCTTGCTGCCAAGCTTGATGACTTGAGTTCAGTCCCTAGGATCCATATTGTGTCATGAGAGAACTGACACCACCACCACTATCCCAGTAAATAATAAATGGAATTTTATAAAGAAGCTTACATGAAATTACAGTATTGCCCCAGAGTTTGATGGTGGTGATCTGTTAAGAACAGTTAGCCTGCCTTCCCTATTTGTCTGCTGTCCCAGAAGTCCCTCCTGGGGTCTTTGAGAACAGGAGTATTAGGAACCTTTGTTCATTGTTTTCACTGTCACTGTCCTTCTCAGCCATATTATTGATGATGCTAGTGCCATTAACATGTCTTGCCCCATGTGGGGTAGCTGTTTTGAGAATAACTAGCTTAAGAGTTCTGGCCTTACAAGGTCTGGGGGTGTAGGAGTTGGTGGCTTGTGTTGTGCTGATCTGATGCATAGTCCGGGTAGTTTACTGTCTGTCCCTCTTATAATAAAAGGGGTTAGTAATGGAGGTTCTACCCTACTGACTTATCCGCTCTTACCTTACTACTTTCCAGAGACCCCATCTCTGCACACTACAAGTGAAGTTGCTGTGTGAACTCCTGGGGTGTTCCACCCTCCCAGTAGGCACATGCACCACCACTGACTGGTCCTCCCTCCCCAGAGTTGGATTCAAAAGGTTTCCCAGTGTCACAGTGATTTTTGTGTGAATGGATTGATTCTTAACACCTTTCTGTGCCTCACAGATTTCTGTCTCCAGGGAGCCATTCTAGTGCCACTGACAGCAGACTTTCTATGTAAGGGTGTCTGGTCTTTCTTCTGTGATTGTAGAGAGAAAGGACTTGGCTTAGAAGTGTAGCCAGAAGTTTCTCTGGTCCCACCTAGTCCCAAGGTCCCGCAGCCTCTTATATAATAATCACTCAGAGGCTTAATATTATTTACAAACTGTATGGTCTATGGCAGACCTCTTGCTAACTAGCTCTTATAACTTAAATTAACCCATTTCTATTAATCTATGCTTTGCTACTTGTTCTGTGGCTTACCAGTCTGCTGGCAATGTTGTTCCTTGGGCCACAGGCTGGCGTCTCTCCATAGACACTGCCTTTCTCTTTCCTTGGATTTTCCACCTGCCTCTAAGCTGCCTTGCCATGGGCCAAAGCAGCTTATTTATTAACCAGTGGGAATAACATATTCACAGCATACAGAAAGACATTCCCCCACATAGAAGCTTCCTTGAGATTGCTGCAGCACACTGCTTCTGTGTGCTGTCAGTGATGACATGTGGAGAGATTTGCTTGTGTGTCAAGGTGTTCAGTACTGGGCTGCCTCTTGGCGCCAAGTTCTGAGTGGTTGGGTTCCTTTCTAGTCACTGTGTTTTCTTGTTATTTGTCATTACCATGGGGGGGAGTAAGCTCACCTTTTATAACTGTTGCGTTGGCTACCTAAGAGTCCATTGGAAGCCGGGCGGTGGTGGCGCACGCCTTTAATCCCAGCACTTGGGAGGCAGAGGCAGGCGGATCT